CCTGGCCATTTTTTGGTTGCAGCCATCATTGTTGTTTGGCGGGCCCGGGCTGGGGATTTGAACCTGCCACTTTAGGTGTATGTGGCTGGCGCCTTAGCCGCTTGAGCCACAGGTGCCGAGCCTCATTTATTTACATATTGTCTTAGGGATGCTTTTGTGTTACACCACCATAGAGTTGAGAAGTTGTGATAGACTGTACAGTGTGCAAAGTCTAAGATATTTACTATCTGGGTTTTTACAGAAAACATTTGCTGACCCCCATTGCTGTAGCATTTATGTGATTTGAGGTTCTGGAATATTTTTATGAAGTTCTGAAAAAATTTTAACTTTTTTTCCAGAAAAAACACTAAGGTAGTCTTCCATTGAAAAAAATGTTGATAGCTGCTTCCGAAGAACTGAAATGACATCAATAGGTTATGGTTGGGGTGACTTAGTCCATCAGTTTGAAAGGCTCCTTTCCTCTCTGTTTAAATACATCTGAGTTATCTCTAGATGGTAAAGCTGGTTCTTAATTATCCAACCTGTTTTGTTACTCATCTTGACTATGTTATGGGTTTAGTTTCAAAACATTATGAGTGCATCCAGGCTTTTTGAATCGTTTATAGAAATTTTCATTTTGTTCTCAAACTCTCATACTTCCTCTGTTGTGATTTTTTTTTTTAACATAAAGCTCAGACTACTAAATGGCCTACACATGTAAATAAAGCCCATACTTTTTAAGAAATCATAATTTAAAAAAAATTCCTTTTTCTTGAGAAGTTAAACTTAATTTTGCAAGTCACAGAAGTAACAAAATGCCTTCATATCCAGTGATCTCAAAGCACCTCTGATGAATATACCAAGGTAAAGAACGTCTATTTATTTTTAAGTACTACTTCTTGGAGGAAATATTATTTAATGGAAAAGATGTGACTAGTAACAAATAAAGTCCAAGGCTATTTCTGGTTCTGCGAATGACTCACTTTGACTTTGGGCAAATCATCTCACCACTGTTGCTCTTTATCTGCAAAAACTGGACTTCATGCCTATGAGAGTTGCATGGCTAATCAATGCCTGGGAAATGCGTAGTGGCAGATGCTAGAAAAGTGCTGAGCCTTAAAAACAAAACCACCCCCACCCCCCCATTTGTATTCCGTTGAGGTTGGGGTTTATTGTTATTTAACATTCGAAGGCCAACACTATGTTAAGTCCAGCGTGCTGCACAGAACAGATAATACCACTGTCCAGTAGGGATTTTATTTTTTAAATCTAGTATTTTTCACTTTTTTTAACCTTTATTGTGGTTGGAGGTTATTTTAGAATCTAGTAATATATCTATACAAAAACATTAAGCTTTAAGTTTAAAACTATCGATTTAAAAATCTAAATACACCCCCCCTGAAATGAGGCTCTCCCCCGCCCCGCCAAGAAATCTCTCAAAACAAGAATTCTTCTGATGTTTTTTTCTTCCCTGCAGTTCTCCATGTTACAGTCCTTGGAGGTAGAATAGGCATAAAATACTTTGACTAATAAAATATGACAAACCACCGGATTATACGTGGCCGATTCCCAGTGATTGCCCTGCTACACAAAGCAGAAAAGTAAATGCCATCATCCCCCTTAGAACAAAAGAACTTAGGAATAAAAAACATGGAGAGGGGGGAAAAAGCAGCAATAAATAAAGGTGAGCAAAGCACCCCCGTTCCCCACCCCTCCCCGAAGCGAGTGTGGGACTAAGTACGGCTAATAAAGTGGTTCAAGGGTAGTTATTTGGAAAGGGGGCGGGGTGGCGAGGGGAGGGAGCGGGCGAGCGGCGGCCGGGGATTGCATGTTGCATTCGACTTGAGGTTGCATCTTTCTCCTGTTGCCTGGACCACGCTCCCCCATTGCAGTGCTTCCCCACTGCTTCTCCTCGCTCCCGTCCTTTTGGCTTTCCCCCCCTTAAAACTGCTGTTGCACTGGAGGGACTTGGGGCCGCTCCGGAGCCCCTTTGCAGCTCCCGCTGGCGGGAGGGGGAGTTAGGCTCGGACCGCGGAGTTGGGGGGGCCGCAGCGGGCCCTGGCCTCGCCTCGGCTGCGGCTGCATAGGAGCCGAGCTGCAGCGCTGCACGGGCCCATGATTGCGGCGGCTCCAGAGTTTGGCCGCCGCCACTCCGTGCTCAGCCCCATCACCGCCGCGCCGCCGCCGCCGCCGCCGTACTGGAGTTTGGCGGCTGCTGCCCTACTTCACTCTAGTTTAGTTTCACTCACTTTACATCCGGGTTTTTTCCCTAGGCAATGGGGGCCGCAGCACACCCCGTTCCTTAGGCAAAGTGAAATAAATTCGCCGCACCGACACGTCAAGTAGTCCGCCCGCCCGAGCGCCGCCGCGGATCTCCGCCGCCCCCCCCGCCGCCGCCCCGACGCCCCCGGGGGGAGCCCGCACGTCCTGAGAGCCGCAGGCAGAGGCACGGGGGCCCGGGCCGGCCGCTGAGCAACTCCGCCCGGCGGCCCCCTCCCTCCCCGCCG